CAGCACCCCCAAAGAGCCTCTCTGCCCCCTTCCCCTGCCACAGGGGCAGGTGCCTCTCCCCTACCCCCCTGCCCTGCTACAGCCCCAGCACACAGACACCTTTCCCCAGCGCTGGCAGGCACTTGCCCAACCCCCACACCCATCGCCTCCACACACCCCTGCCACCCTCCCTCTGGACAGTCCCCAAGCCCTGGCCCTCCAACTCCCACCCCAACCCCCACAGACTTACCTGCATCCAGATGTCAGGGCTGCTCCCACCACCCTGCCTGGCTTCATGCCAGCCACATGTGTGTGCACGTGCAGACGCACATGGTGTCCCCTGCCTCCAATCACCCCAAGCAGCTCCTTGCAAGCTGCCCGCCTGCGAGCAAAAACCTGTGCTTTCCTCCTTTAAAGAGGAAAATCCGTGATTTTCCACCAGCAGATGGAAAACCTAGATCCCTGGTAAACATGTCCATTGCTAGGGCATGCTGGAAAATGCAGTTCTACCAGCAAAATCCCAGACATTTGTTGCTATTTAAAAAAACCATCCCAATGTAGATCAGAGGACCCAAAAAAGAGGCTGTGTCTGGGAACACCAGGACATACGGTAGCCCTATGTAGTAGTTCCTGTGAAAATATGGTACAAGCTGCATGCATTAAGAGATCAAATACTTTAGACTCACAAGGCATGATTTTTCTCTCATTTATACACAGTTTGACACTTCTCTAGTGCTGGTGACTTCAGTGGACTTACATTATTTACAGCAGAGGAAAATTCAGGCACAGTAAACAGGGTTAAATTCTATTTCACCTTTGCAGGCCCAAGTGGCACTTACATAGCTGCATAATTGGGTTCTGGCCACTGTCCAAATGGCTTTTCTGCACCTTGCAGCTAATATTTACTGGACAAAGAGCATGGGGAAGCATCCATCTCTCTAAGCATACTTTTGGCTGCATACATCTTCCCTTCCTGGCTGCCCAGTGAGCTGGCTGAATTCAAAAGGAAAACTGGAGGGTGGTCTGGGTAATGGCCAGCTTATGACCTACTGGTTAGACCACTTTGCTCTGAAAAGAAATATACAGTTTCACATCCCCTCTTGGCAAGTGAAATGGGGGGGGGGGGGCAAGGGGGGGG